GTACACCTTTAGGTCACTCTATCAAGTCCGAAGGTAAGGTCTCATCATAACTTTTTTTTTATAGGAGAGGGGGCAAACGAGCATGCGGCTCACCTGATGGTAAGTGACTACCGCCGCCCATGAACAACTGCATCACCAGGGAGGCCAATTTGGCCTTCTCTTCCAAGTGACCACGAAACTGCACGTCACTCGATATGTCGACTCCGAGGATACCAATACTGACTGAGGCAAGAAGGGGAGTGCCTTGAAACTGACGAGATACGACAAAGGGGTTCTTTTTAGCGGTAATCGCGCAAACTTGTGTCTTCTGAGGATTAAACTGGACTAGATTTAGTTGCCCCCAATCCGAGACTTTGTTCAGCAAAGACTCGACTTCAGACACAAGTTTGTTCCGGTACTCGGCGACGTTTTCCCGAGAAATATTGGCAAGGCCGGTGTATAGAGCATCACCAGTGCTGTCATCCGCATAGCAATGAATGTTACCAGTTAGCAACATATCATTGATATGCAGAAGAAACAGCGTTGGTGATAGCACACAGCCTTGAGGAACACCAGCGTTAATAGGCTTGTAGTCAGAACATGCACCGTCTACAACAACCTTGATGCTCCGATCTGCAAGGAAGCTGGTGATCCAATTGCACAATTTCTCGGGAAGCCCATAGGAAGGGAGCATCGAAAGAAGCGCTTTGTGCCAAACCCGATCGAAGGCCTTCGCAATGTCTAAACTAACGGCCAACGCCTCCCCCTTGGACTCTACTGCCTCCGCCCATCTATGGGTCAGGTAGACCAGAAGATCACCAGCTGATCGACCCCGACGAAAACCGTATTGGCGGTCACTAATCAGCGAGCTGGCAGTTAATAATGGATTCCATTATTTTGGAGAACAAGGAGGTGATCGCGATAGGCCTATAGTTGGACGGGTCTGAGCGGTCGCCTTTTTTAGAGATCGGGTGGACAAAAGCTGTCTTCCATGAGTTCGGGACTACGCCTTGGGAGTAGGAGTACCGGAAAAGACGCGTTAAAACCGGTGCCAACTCCGGAGCACACGTCCTCAGCACAATTGGGGGGATTCCGTCAGGCCCACTCGACTTCTGGATGTCCAGAGAGAGAAGTGCTTTGCGAACCGAGCGCTGTGAGGACAGCACATCCGGCATAGAGCACTTACACCGCGGGATGGTCGGCGGTGTTTTCCCCCCGTCATCAAGAGTCGAGTTGGACGCAAAAAGGGAGCCTAAAAGGTCAGCTTTGTCTTTTGCGTCTTGGGCCAGTGAGTCATCCTCCCTGTGCAGAGATGGTAGTGATGGCTTACAAAAATTCCCTTGGACAGCCTTGGCGAGAGACCAGAATGCACGGGTTCCCGAAGGAAGGCGAACTAGTTTCTCGCCAATTCTGCCTATGTGCTCTGACTTTGCCTTGGCAATAACTCTTTTGAAGGACCTGGAGGCGAAGTTATACTTCTTTTTAAGTGTGCTGGTGTTTACATCCCGAGTCACCGAAGCCGCAGCCCAGGCTTGATAACATTCCTGCTTACTGCGTAATGCAGTCTTACAGGAGCGACCAAACCAAGGCTGAGATCTGCCTCCGATGGGTAGCACAGATGATGGAATAAATAATTCCATTCCCTGTAGCACCACATCAGTGACAGAGTCAGCAACAGCGCTGGGATCATCCGGCGAAAAGCAAACCCGCCCCCATGGGTAGGATGCAAAGAAAGACCGCATTCCGTCCCAATCCGCCGACCTGTAATGCCAAACACGGCGGCAACCTGCAGAACGCAACCGCGAAGGGAGCGTGAGTGGCACCACACTCCGGATCAGACAATGGTTCGAAGAGCCGAGAGGGGCATCGACGGAAACCTGATATCCGTCCGGATGAGAGGTCAGCAGAAGGTCCAACAGGGAAGGTGTATGATCCTCCACATCTGGAATCCGCGTAGGCGAAGTAACCAGTTGTGTCAGACCATATGCCAAGGCAAAGTCATAAACAGATCTCCCCGCATGATCGGTTAAACGTGAACCGAGCCATTCGGCACGGTGGGCGTTAAAATCGCCAAGGATCCCGATCTCTGCGGATGGGACCTGTTGTAGCAAGGAATCTGTAGCCATTTGGACGTGGTCGATGAGTCGGTCTGTTTCGGCATTACCGCTATGGGACCTATAGAGGCACCCGTAAACGCGCGGATGGTCGTCGCTGTCTACGCGTAGCCAAAGGATGGACAGGTCCCAACCTTCAAGACTGCCGAGGCGTCGAGAACAGATGTCCTCTCTGACATACACGCAAACTCCAGCCCGAGGCACAAAGGAGTGCTCCAATTTGTACCCCGGGTAGGAGAGATACGAAATATCAGCCGGAGAGGAAACCTGCGTCTCGGTCAGAAAGAGCAAGGCCGGCTTCGCCGTCTCGAGATGGTAGTGGACGGCGTTTAGGTTAGAGTAAAGTCCCCTGATGTTGCAGAAATTCACGGATAGCGTGGGAGGGGTCGCCTTAGTATTGTTGCTCAAGTTTGCCCCGAGCAGTTATGTTTTTGAGCGGAATTTTGCCCCCCCCCTCCCCAGAATACGCGGGGCAGCCTGAGCACCCACGCTCAGGATTGGAATAACATGGTCGTGGATGCTCAGCGAGGGATTCTCCAGGGGTACTGGTACCCTCCTGGGGTAGTCTATTGTGTAATTCCGCTACCATGTTGATGGGGGGGGGGGGGAATTGCGCCTCCGGTCACCTGCACTCACCAGACGAAACGCAGAAGCAGAGCTTCTACTTCACGCCGGTATTCTGTGAGGTCGTGGTACCAACCCGGCTAGGTGTGCCAAACTTGGCACACCTAGTTCTACTCTATGAGGAGTTCGAGTAGTATTCACCGAAGTACACCTTCAGGTCACTCTATCAAGTACGGAGGTAAGGAACTGACAAAACGAGGCTAAGCTCGGCACACCTACTCTTCGAGGAGTTCCAGTAGCATTCACCGAAGTACACCTTTAAATCACTCCATAAAGTTCAAGACGTATCATCATCATCATTACAGCCCTTATCAAGTCCAATGCTGAACATAGGTCTCCCCTAAGGAATGCCACAAAGCACACAATACAGTAATCCACTCACGACGGCGGTCGAGCGCGAAGTGAGGCAGAGCCAATTCGGTTTATACAAAGGTATACTGTGGGCAGAGCAAAGTGTATTTAGTAAAATAAAATATTACAATGCTGCTCACCGAAAATTTCGAGATTTCTCAGCCGAAAAAAAATTAATTATAACGATTGTTTCGTTATAATTAATTTTTACTGATTTTATCATGATAGATACATGATAGATGATGAGATTAAAAAAATAGATTGAGTTAAACAATTGATATTTTTAAAAGTTATCGTGTTTACCCCTCCATGCGGACTTTATAAATCTACACCATAAGCCCCTAAAACCACATTTTTAAGTGAAAATAGCAACTAATCGATTTAAAAACAAATTTATAAGTTCAACAATCATTTATCTTTTTGACAATGTGCTTTTTATATAATTTATATGTTCAATATGATTGTTAGATACAATTTCATGCGACAATACGTTGGAATCTTGGTTTTTAGGCTCTAGTAGAACATACCTACGCGCTTTGCGCTTAAGGCATGCAATATATGGTTCAGCGGTGGGATCCGACTTGAAGGAACTATAAACTAATGGTTCCTACAATTACAATTAACAATTATGACCAACCAATTCGACTAATAAATTCAGCCGATGGGCAAAAACTGAATGGTGTAACGGGCCGGAGCGGTGGAATCACATTAAGTGGACTATGCTGGAAACAAAATGCTGGACGCAGCGTGCGGTTTAACTTTATATTTTAGACAATATACTTATTAGATTTATTTTATTTATTCGTTGACTGACACGAAGGGAGATGAGCCGCTGAGGAATAAGGAACAACAAATAATCAGCTCATAAAAGGAATGGATTAAACACAATATGGGTTTTAGAAAGGCGATGCGTCTCGTATCTCTTAACGACTCGATGACACGATGAGCTAGGTTGACACTAAATTTATTCACAAACGAACAGTTCTGATTTCTTCATAATAAAGTCATGTGCACCAAACAAACAACATTTCATGATAATTTAAGCCGTTTAATTTATACAACCTGGATTATGTTCAAAATGTATATTAATTAATAAAATAAAATAAAATTAATAGCCAGTGTGATGTCTACTGCGACACTTGACACACTGAACTAGATTTACAAACCTTAAAGTTGCCACTTTAATTACAGAACACTAATTACAATCTAAAACCACACTAATAATAAAACACAATTGTACTACTGATCACTTTAGTTCGCAGTTATATCGCTGCGGAGTATTCTCTTGTATCGCCAATTCAATACTGACTCGGTCGTGGTCTAAACCGACCTTATATAGGACCTCAGATAATTTCCTGAACCTTCTACTGTAGAAACATCTAGTATGTTCGAGTACATATCGGTCCCGAAATTTCTAGAAGAATCTTGACTCTCCTAGTTCTGCTACTCGTTACTAGAGGGTGCTAGTGGTAACTAGTGTTGCCATGTACAACACATTAATAGTGGCGCGCAACAATATTCTGTATTAACAGTAAAAGTGTTCTGTGTTAATGCGGAGGAGCGACATTCGCTCTACTCAACTCAATAAAGGAGAAATAGAACTAATAAAGATAAAAATGAAAAACACAAACCACATGTCTCAACAATACATTACGCTGAAAATTTAACAAAAACATACCCGCCCGTACATTTTTTTTAGGTGTCGCCATTTTATTAACTTGATATACTAGTTTAACAAATTACACAAATGAAATAATTCTGTAATAGCGCCATCTAAACGGTTTGTCAAGTAGTAGTTCTCTCCGAATTTATTCAATGGCACTGGCGGAAGGTCGTTGTTTGAAGTAAATTCTCTTAATTTATTGAAACGTAATTTAGTGCAGAGATAATAAAATGTTTGTTGTGGGATTGTACGCGCTACGCAGTACGCACCAGCGTGAAGCGGCCGCTGTAGACGAACACGGGCACGGTGTAGTGCGACAGGTTGGTGTGCAGCGTGAGGTGCGCGTGCAGCGTCACGTTGTCGCGCAGCGCGCTCTGCTGCAGCTGCAGGCGCGCCACCACGCCACTCGCCCCCGGCTGCAGCACCAGCGGGCTCATATCCGTCACCTGCAAACCGGACAACCGGAAAAACCAATCGCTTACTACTCGCGCGTCAAAACAATCAGATTATATATGGCGTCTCATGTATTCACCTCTCGCTTGCACATTGCCATGTTTATACTCACGCCCATTGGTAATAACCACAAAAAATAACGTCAATTATGCGTTGTGATTAGCATTTTTTTTTGCCTTATTTGAGGCCCGAGTAACAAAAAATAAATGTTCAATAGACTTTTATCAGGCCTCTGTCACTCTTGCTACCTGCGTGAAATAATTATCTACAATCGCGAGGCGCCCCGGGACAGAATGCACTCGGGGCTAGCGCGTTCTAGCCGATTGAATGTTAGTTTTTTAACGGATAAGAGGAAAAGATGCAAAGTAATACGGACACTCGCGCGCAGCGATAAAGTTTTATTTAGCTTGCGCGCGCGATTTATCTTATTAATAATAACTATGTAGGGTATTAAAACGTCGGCAAGCAGTCAACATCAAAGGAATGCAACTTCTGTACGTAGTACTATTATTTATTCTGTGCTTTTGTTTTATAAGGTATCAATAATTAAATTACCAAAAATAAATATTATTTGTTAATTGATTTATATTCGTATTTAATATTCAGTTAATAATTTAAGTTAAAGTTAAAGTTACAGCCTATATACATGTCCCACTGCTGGGCACAGGCCTCCTCTCATTTCTGAGAGGGTTTTAGGCCAAGTTTTTTAATTCTATATTAGGGGGCGACCTTAACAAAGGCGTGTAACGGGCAAAGTGATACTGACACTCGCACGCGGATGTAAGGTGCATTTTGATATAATACGCGCGCCGTATTAATTTTTGTTTCGATATAGGTTAATTTCACGAAAGTCGTTTCCAACGCGTGTAAAGTATTATGAACATTAGCGACGTTGTAGCTAGATTTAAACTCGCAAGTTTGCTACCACAGAGGGATCCTTCTGTTCTTGTACTATTATTTATTGTGGTAGGAGGTGATGCCGAAAATTGATGATAACAAAATCGGGGGATTAAGTTAGGTGTTACAGCTACACATCTATCATCTACACACCCATTACACCACTCGCTGGCTAAGGGATCGAAGAATTCGATACGTTGCGTCAGGATTGTGACGCATCGTGCGCGGCGGACGGAAGAGCACCACCTTTTTAGATAGTTTCGTTATGTACACGAATTCATGTAAAACAAGGGTATGTGTCTATGGACTACATCAACCACTTACTATTAGGTGAGCCGGCTGCTTTTTATTACTCTTTAATCTATAAAAAAATGATCAAGCATACAGTGATTCGTTCCATCGTGACCCACTAGGACGCACAGGATAGTTTGGAAACGATCGTATGCTTATTTGAGAAAATATTAATTATGTATCATATGACGAGGTATGCGCGCGCATGTGTATGTGTGTGTGTGTGTGTGTGTGTGTGTGTGTGTGTGTGTGTGTGAATGAGGTGAGGAGGCACTGACGTGGAAGTGCTGGCGCAGGTGCGGCGGCACGGCCAGCAGCACGCGCAGCGGCAGCGAGCACTCGTTGTGCGCGCGCAGCTCCCCCGCGCCCCGCGCCCCCACCACTCCCTCCTCTTCCTCGCCGCCCTCCTCGCGTGCCGTCACGAAGCTGCACAGGTAGTGTTAACTGGACTTCCTTCCACTCACTTATCTGAGTTGAGTGTCTTATCACTACGCGACCTTACAATTATTAACAATGGAGAAAAGTTACACAGCAATAATTGTTGTTAAGCGCCATTATGGCACAAAAAAACAAATCAGTAATTTTCAGTCGTAACAGAAACATACTACACAATTAAGTCAAATTCATAATATGCATTACCATCTTTAGACGGGATCACGGAGCAAATACAAAGAGGAGACGGCCTAGGCACATTTGCACTGTGATTCTAACTAGGTTCTGACGTCATCATAGTGGACGTGGCTTTAGTTAGTAAACTGTCAGCGTTCGTCCTGTGCGCTTATGGGTGAAAACCGCAAATCGGTGTATTTTCGTAGTATTAAGAAGAAAAGTATGAAGTTTTGTGTTTATCGTGTAAAAATATATAGAACGCCACGATGCTATGGATATAATTTTATACCTAATTTATTAAAAGTTCTAGAAAAATCTCTGCGTCGGCTTTCAAATATAATTAATTATATTCGACACTAGATGGCGACCCTTTATATCATGGGAATTAAAAAGGTATTTCGAGCTCAGTATTGGTAAAATAATCATACGGAGGTTCTGAAATTTGTTTTGCATTCAGTCCTAAAGAATTTTTAATCACCAACATATTATATTAACAGTTTTTATAATCATTTTGTAAGCAGGCCGCCATCTATCGTCAAGGTAGCTAAACTACATTGCAACATCGATAGGGAACGATGCTAGTAGTTTTACTACTTATCGGTAGATGGAAAATAGTTAAGTGGGCGGAGCTTAACACCCCTCACCCCACAAATTGTCACGCCTTGTTACATAGTGAAATCTAATTATAACACCTCTTTGTATTAGCTCCGTGGGCGGAATAGTAATCAAGCATTGGCTTATAATAATAAAAAATAAGATAGATACAATTATGCGTCATTTAAACTTGCACTGAAAAAACTCTTGCAAACATAGCACATTTGCATCACACAGAACGTTACATAATATATTTAACATGTAAACAGCTCTTCTTTAAAATACAGCAAAGACCAACCGTGCTAATTAACAAATATTTTGTGTCTTTGGTAAATAGTAGTAGGCCAGAAAAACTATATTTATACTTTTAACAATCAATCATCAAAATCAAAATCAAAATTATTTATTCGTTTTCACACGTATTAAGGTTGACAATATTATAATTTTTAAGTATCTCCGTGAAATGCTTTTTACAGCATACGAATGTATATGTATATTCACACATTATAAAATTAAACATAAATGAAAAAATCAAAATAACAGTTAAACTAAGTAAACAAAGTCAAAAAACACAAAATTATTCACTAGTTGTAGTTCAATTTACTAGTTGTCCGATTCGAGTAGACTTGGTCAAACATACTATGCAACTGACACTGTATCATCAAATAGCAGCTTACAGTTGTCACGGAAAAGCGACTAGTTGCACGTTTATTAAAAAAATATTCACAAAATTAATGGGAATTTTACAAAAATTGCAACATAGATAAATTATAATGAATTGCTACTTGGTAAACCTGCAAGTGCGAACAAGATATGCAATTTTCCGATAGTTCGTACGTACCAATGGAACATACAATCTAAGCTTACTTCTTGGTGCTGCGCGGAACAGCGAACTTAAAAAGATTCAAAAGTTCATGCGAATCTCCTGTCCTGAATTTGAATTTGGTGGCCTTTTGGGCGATGTGTGTGTAATATTTTGTTATCTTCTATTTGAGTTATAATTATGTTAGTTTGTTTAAATATAATAAGGAAGAGCACTGTAATATGAAAAACTGATATGTATGTTTATGTAGTCCAGACAGATGTTTCATAATTTATTGTAGACTAAGTATAGATTATAGAGTAGTTATTTATAAATGTAGTAGTTATGCAAATTGTGAAAATAAAGTATTATTATCATTATGTGGTATTAAAGTAGTAGTTTTCTCATCTAGTTGGGCTGCATAAATATATAAAAGGAAATGAACTTAGATATAGTAAAATAAATAAATAAATAAACCCAGCCAGATAGAAAACCTCGGCAAAGAAGACTAAACGCTCGAGCGTTCGGGAGAAAGGGAAAGAAACCAGCGAACGATGCAGGCAGTATCGATGAGCACCGCCTTCTGCATCTGAGACCCGTGCGGTCCGTCAAGGAGTACCGGTCGCCTCAGATGAACAGAGAGGCTGACCGGGATTAGCTCGTTTGCAGAAACGACTACAGGAATAATTTCGCTCGACAGACTACCATACATGTCGGTTACCTCGTGAGCCAGGTCCAGATATTTTATTTGGCTAGTTATTTCGGGTTTCATGAGTTTCTTGTCATACGGAATGGTAATATCAACTTATTACAATTATATATTGTGTGTTGTATGCGCATTCGTCCACAGCAGTGCGGCGCGACCAAGGCACAAGCAGGGCGCCCCTCCAGTTGTGTGCAGTGTGCAGTGTGCAGAGTGCAGTGTGCAGGCTGGCAAGGTGTCAGGGTAGCACTCACTGCAGCTGTGCGGGGCTAACGCGCAGCGTGCCGGGCAGCAGGCGCAGCGAGTAGGGCAGCGCGGCGCGGCCCAGCCGCACGCAGCCCTCGCACCGCACCTCCCCTGCCTCCCCCACTTTCCCCTCCTCACCCGCCTCCCCGCCCCACGCGCTCGCCCACAGCTCACCGTCTGCCGGCAACATCGCACACTTCAACACACAAAACTTGCATTTAGCTTTTTTTTATAAAATAAGGGTTACATAGACATCTACATTTATCCTCAATTAAGAATCAAAATGCAGATGCGTTGTCATACCTGAGGACTAAGATGTAATGCCCCGTATCCAGCCAAAAAGGGTCTCCGGTTCTTTACAGTCACCATACAAAACACAGCAACATTGAGCAACTATTTGACGCTAGATTTCCGTGAGAGCGTGGTTCTTCCCCGGTGTAGCCGACCCATTCGTGTCACAGCCGTAATAAAGCTGCAGCATGGCTGTACCACGCATGAAAATGATTCTCCGAACATTTATGCTTTCAACAATTATGCTCCGTTTACTTTACTAAGAACTTATGATATTCTTAAAGTTATGTGAACGCACCAATAGGTGACACATCATGAGTGGTTTGTCTCTTTAAACTGTCATCTGACATCGTATAGTAATAATTTGTAGTGTTGCTTCATTATAGAAAATAATTAATAACTAATTTCACGTGTTCTTTTTTAAAAATCAAGGAAACCATTCATTTTTGGCTTCTTACACATAATCACTAAAATATTTCTATTTACGTGCTGTGAGCATGGAATATGCAACTCAGCATCAGCAATGCGTTTCTTTTATTTTAAAAAAAAGTTACCCCTTCACTAGAATTTTCTCCTATATCGTGGATGCCGTTTACAAACATAAATTCCACAAGGACACATCCAAAACCGGAACAATAATTTGTAGGCCATACAAATGCTTGTTCCGTGCAGGATTCGAACCACGCCCTTAGCGCTGCAACTCATTGCTAAGCCACTGCGCCAAGGAGCAGTAAAAAAAACAAAAGCTTTAGGATTTGTAATGCAACACAGTGCTTAATTTGTAAATACACACTTAATAATAACCAATAATAAATAGTAATTAAAACATAACGTAAAGTAGTGACATCACATCGTTTCATGTGTTTAATCGCGGTTCAGTGGTAGGACTTATACAGCCTGTATAAGTCCCACCGCTGATCATACACATCCACCCTTTCCTTTTGAAAATTTCGGAAGAGGACTTCACATGCGCTCGCCATATTTTACTCCTCAAACAAGCAGATTTCCCTAAGTCTTAACCACTGAAATAGCAAATCAGCCCATAAAATTGAAATTAACAATGGAGCCGGTGAATTTCGAAACTGGGTTGCCACAGTTCTTGTTTTGACATGGTACTTCAAAAAAGGTAATTTAAACCAGGTTTATAGATGAAATGAAACTATTTTTTACGGATTCTATCACGTTTAATTTAACTTTTTAATTCCCGACGTTTCGGGTGCTTTACAGCACCAATGGTCACGGGGGGACTGAGGTGTTTGACGTACCGATGTCATAGTTAGCCCTGCTACATTCAGTATTTGAATATACATTTTTGGTCCGATCTACGCCAAATGAGCTTACAGTATCTTGAAGTCTTGCAGTAGTATACTTGGGTTTGGATTTAATTTTATTAATTATAGGATCCCAAGCAGATGGCAGCACCCATCCATCTTCTCTATTGAAATTAAGATGTTTTTTTTTATTTCAATAGCCTCGCAAATCATCCTTGGTAGGAATCGGTGTTCTTTTGCGATTTCTTTTGTAGTTTAACAGATCTAATGTAACGGCAGGGACGTTCTTGAACATGTTCACAAACTGCAGACTTCCCGGAACGTCAGTGCTTCAATTCAGCTATATGTTCTTTTACTCTGACATGGGTAGTAAAGCAGGTACTTGTAAAGCAAAGTATTGTCGAAGGGCTTGAATTTTGCAACAACACCGCAAAGAATCCCGTACGAAGAAGTTATATGTAGTGTTGAGGACTGTCTGTTTAAGAAAAACATCGGTAAGGATGATTTAGAGGCCATACGTCAAGACATTTCGTCCTTGTTACGTCGAAGTTCAGCGCCGAAACTAAATCTCCCCAAAGACAAAGGTAAAGTGTTGTACCTACGCAACAGACCAGAGCTCACGATTCTCCGCGCGGATAAAGGAAATGCTACTGTAATAAAAGCGAAGTTTAATAAATATTTCCAATTTTTTTTTTCTAGATACAGTTATTCTCAGAAACTTTAAATTTAAAAATAATAGAAATAATAATGAAAATATTTTTAATAATGTGCTGGCAGTTGGCAAAATTCCATATCCCTTCTTGAATACCTAATAATATTTAATATATTCATATTTATTTTATATTATAAAATATCCTACAAAAATCATTTTACGAAGTCACTTAACAAGAAAAATTCTTAGTTCCGCTACGTAGATGACGATGTTTTGACGAGTTCTAACAGTTTCTAAATTATGTTGAGATCAAATATACATTGTTCATTTATTCATTACGACCTATCAAAGTCGACTACTGAACATAAGCCTATCCAACGGATAACTTCATAAGGGGGTATTTTTCATAGTTTCCACTTTTGCCAGGCGGGTTTGCAACCGCAGTTTTTTTACTTTGGATCTAGTTGTTGTTAGGAAGATGCCGTTTACTGGTTTCCATCTGCCGCCTTTTACTACACCCACGAGATGATTTGTAGTAGTCAATTTTCTTTCACCGCCCCATACACATTGTTATGAAAAACTGCTGTTATAAACCACGTTATTACTAATTAAACATTTGGGAAAAATATTTAAGTTTGTTTCAATCGTAAAATGTGATTAATTTCAAACTTGCTATTATTTATAAGAGAAATGTATTATGCATTTTTCATGTGAAACTTTATTAGTAACAGACATTACTTTTTAAATAGATCCATAGTAAAAGAATGTAATAAACAAGATAAACTGACTATAAAATAAGCAGCGTTTCGCGCGCTCCTCGAACTCAAACCGGATACTACTACTAAACGTATTACTAAAATAACCTAAACGTCATCGTAATAGGATGGTAACCTCAACAAAGAACCCGAGTGACAATCAGGACAGAACTATTGCAGAAGGTCTGAATTGATATCACAAAATAATTAATAAGCCGATATAGAAAAGACATGAAGATTGTAATTACAGGTGACTTTAATATCAATACGTTACCAGGAAAAATTAGCAGCCATTTATCAGATTTATGCAACAACTATAATTTAATAATACACATTAAAAGTCCAACTCGTAAAGGAGCTTGCATAGATCATATCTTGAGCAATATTAAAGACGCTACAACTACCTTATTACCACTCCATTTATCTGACCATGACACAGCTCAGCTATTAACTTTTCCCATAAAGGGACCTAAAATTACACCCAAGTCACACTTTGTTTATAAAAGAGACTATTGCCTTGAAAATATAAAAAAGTTCAAAAATTGCATTAACAACTTATCATGGTCTGAAGTCTACGACGAGTTTGACGCGAACATAGCTTTTACAAATTTTCACGATATGTTATTTTTATTTTATAATTTATGTTTCCCGAACATAAAAATCAAAATAAGCAACATTAATTTTAAAAAACAAAAATGGATAAGCCGTGGTCTAAAAATAAGTTGCAAAACAAAAAGATATCTTCGCTATAAGTATTACAATAATAAAACATCAGTAAATAAAGAAGCGTTAATGGCCTACTCTAAATTACTAAAAAAATGCATTAATAACTCTCAAAGAAAAACAAACATTAAATTTATAAATCGTAGTAAAAACAAATGTAAAGCAACATGGTCAGTGATAAAAAATGAAATAACAAATATAAAAATAGATGACGACATTACTGAATTAAATATAAAAAATGAAACAATAACAAACCTTGCTGATATAGCTACTGCCTTTAACGACTACTTTATTAACACGACTGACACTGTATCAATTAACACTCCAAAATTTAAGCAAAAGGGGACAACAATTAACTCAATGTACTTAAAACCAATGACGGTGGAAGAAGTAAAAAAGGAAATTATGAGTCAAAAACACAAAAGCGGAAGGATATGACAGTATATCCGCTAATATATTAAAAACGTGCGTCACTGAAATAGTCGATATCCTTACATATCTCATAAACTTGTCCTTTTCTGCAGGTATATTTCCAAATAAGTTAAAGTTATCTTTAGTCAAACCACTGTACAAAAAGGGGAAAAAAACATCCAGCAAACTATCGCCCTATAACATTAATACCGATTCTTTCAAAGTTATTTGAAAAGTGCATGTTAAAAAGGCTTATGAGTTTTTGCTCTAAGTATAATATTATAAAAAAGGAACAATTTGGCTTCCAGAAAGAAAAATCAACAACTTTAGCAGTATTTAACCTAATAAATAAAATATTGACCAGCTTAAATAACAATTATCTAACTACTGTACTCTTTATTGACTTATCAAAGGCATTTGATTTCGTTGCACATAAAACTCTTGTGAGCAAACTGGAATCTCTCGGAATCTGAGGACCCCCATTATTATGGATATCGTCTTATGTAAGTGGGCGTAAACAAAAAGTTGTCCTCAAAAAAAAATTTAATAATGAAATTAGTTCTATTTCGTCTGAATATAGAGAATGCAGCACTGGTGTCCCACAAGTAAGCGTACTTGGACCCATTCTATTCATACTTTACATTAATGACATAACAGAAGTAACAAAACATCAATGTACTTTATATGCTGACGATATATCCATAATTATTACATCTAACAAATCTAAAAACAATGTCTCTTTGCATAATCATGAATGTGACATTAATAATACTATTGACATAATAATCGAATGGCTTAAAGCAAATAATTTAAATATTAATCTTGATAAGTCATACTATATACAATTCAATAAATCAAAACATAAGCAGCACAATTTTAATCTAAATGTGACAAAGATAAAAAAAGTACAACAATTGAAATTCTTAGGTATAACTATTGACGAGAACTTGAACTGGAAAATACATATAGACCATTTGTGTAACAGAATTAATCAGTTAGTATATGCTCTTAAACGTGTTAGGACCGTAAGCGACAAAAAGTCCGCTATTATGTCCTATCGCGCCTACATAGAAT